CATTTCTACTACAATGTTAGAGCCATTTAAATTTCTTCTATGCTAAGCAAAGACTTCTTAGTTTTCTCACATTAACACTTACTCTACTGTCAGCCTGAAAAGTCAGCCCTCAGCTTTGCAACTGAAATGGTATCAAATTAGCAGATATTTTAAGGTTTCACATATTATATGGCAGCTCTGGTGTACGCCTTGTTTATGTAATACCTGAATAGCACAGCAACCCAGAGAAAGTCCTTCATTGCAAGAACATGGTTTCAGGATGTTGTACTAGTGAAAGGAGTCAGGAATCCTGACCTATCATCTGCTGCTGAGGACAACACACTATATTAAATCCTATTTGTCACATTTGGTAAGAAACCTACAGAAGTTGTATTAAAATAGTCCCTTATTCATGCTAAAATCATTGAACCTCCAGGAGCTCTCTATAAACATTCAACACAATTTCACCAATTTCTTCACTGTACTCTCATTCAATTCTGCATCCAGATAAGACACTAACTATAATTATTTCATAAAGAAGTAAACATACCTCTTTGTCTAATGAGATTCTCATTTGCTTTCCACCTAGAAGGGTGCCAATACTTTGGGGAGGGCCTGACCATCTGTCTGTCAACTAGACTACCACTACATTACATTATATATTTATGGATCACTCCACAAAGGGAGGTTCATTACAACAGCCACTGAAAGCCACTGAAATTTACTTGGATCCCTGAGCACTGAGAATTATTCATGTCATACAAGGGTGGTTCTGTCAATTGCTCAGAGATATTTCTCCTTTAACTGCTCCAGAACTGCATATTTCTCAGATTTCCAAACAGCAAGGAGAGTGGGAAAATATTTTAAGCAACCTAAAGTAAAGATACAGAAGATATTTCTGTTAATGGAACAACAGAGGTTTCCTTCTTTTGAGTTCTTTGCTTTAAAATGCCATTTTTACACATCACATTAAAAATGGGATTTAAAAATAGAAGCCAATGAAAATCTTAAGATTCAATGCAACTAATAATTTTGTTATCCTCAAACTACAAATTCTTCTAGTAGCGCAGACACCTAAGTGCTACTCAGAGCCGCAGCATAATATCCAATAATCATCACAATAATCATTCAAGCTTTACACTTCTTCTTAGATTACGTGCACCAAATGGTATAGAAATATGTAAACTTCTTGAAGAAGAGTACTCCATAATAACCTGCAACGTGGTTTTGTCATGAAAACCTGGGCAGCATTCAAAGCTTTCATGACAATCCGAAGGGTTGTCATGAAACAATCCAATGTCTATGCATATATATATATACACACAACAGTTGCTTTTTCTTTTCCCTTGAAAGTATCTGAGAGTTGAGAAGAATTTACAGAAAGCAATTCAAACTTAATTACTATGGTTCCCTACAATAAGGCTTTTCCTTTTCCTGATATAGGAAAAGTACATTCACATTTGCGTTAAAAAATAACACAGTACATTTGATTCCCATAGCTCAGAGTGAAGTTTATGGAACACTGAGAAATATGGAGAGAAGAGATTACTCAGATTACAGTTAACAAATGACAACTTGATATATAAAATCACACAGCCATAGGCTACTACATCTCAGCTAATCTGTGAAACAATGACTTCAATATTATCCATTCTAGTTCTAAATATCATTGAGTGGTGCTGGAAACTCTTTTGTCTGCTCCCTGTCACCAAAGCTGATAGGAACCGGAAAATAGAAAAATAATAACTTTTAAAACAATATTTTGATTTTAGAAAGCAGGCAATCACACTCTGCAGTGCCATCAGCCGTAATTAATACTCGCCTTACTTGGTAGAAACAACAGGGACACTCAAGATTCAAAAGGCCAGTGGTTTTCTGGATATTTCCTGAGAGCTGACCCTCATGAGTGTTTGTGCTATGCAACCTGGTCAATTAACATGCAAATATTCTGATGAACTTACTTGTCTGTGAAATCAGGAACTCAAATGCCTGTTATATTTGCAACATACTCCCTCGAGTATTTAGGATGATGTTCTTCTCTTTCCAGCAGACATTGAGTACTATGAAACTGGTTACCAGACAGTAAATACTTCATTTAGCCATTTAGGTTTATATGTAGATTTAGACATCCTCAGCAACAACAAATGATAGCCAACAAACTACGCAAGCATGACAGGCGGTGTGGCTGGTGCCGCAGAGATGGTGTCACAAGTGGCATCCCATTCAGACTCCACTGAAGCAGATGCACCGATGGCATCACTCAAAGAAAGAAGTCAGACCTTCCAAGAGATCTCAGCTTGTATGAAGAACTGTACATAAGATGAAAGGGCTTATCAATTTAGAGATGCAAACAGCAAAAAAGCTTCCAATTTATCATGGTAAGTTTCAGGAATGGCAATGCGAAATTGCATTAAATTAGTTACGTGATGTTAGTTTAATCCTTAGATGATCACAGGGGCAGGTTAAAACAGTATATGTATTTTTGCTGATGAAGGTAATAAGAAAGCCCCAAATCTGACTC